TGTTTAATAGTTGAAATATTCATACAATTTTATCACATCGAAGGTGTATTTTTTCACTAATTTGTGTTTTTTTTATTGTATAATTTTATTGTTATCACGTTTATTTTGTTTATTAATTCTATCTTTCTTAACTAAATATATGATCAAAATAAAAACTAATATTATTGTAGTTTCACTAGTATGTATCCAGTCAACCCCATAGGGTGGCCCAGTTAAACCCTTCACTGTGGTTAACTGGGCCACGGGACACATGTTTAAAAAATGCAATATTTACAAGGCCACAGCATATATTAACTAATTCATTTGAATTTATTAGATAGAATATTAATATTCTCATAGTTATGAACAGAAAAAATATTGAAAAGCAGTAATTTGTTACAATTACATCACCCAAAAAAAAACTGTACCCAGTTAACCTCACTTTACCCTATATATATATAATATAATATAAATGATATAACAATGCATGTCTATACTATTTACATGTAATATTTTGATTGATATAACTAGCCATATGTAACAGTAACTAGCCAGTTACTGGCAGTAACTGGTTATTGATATAAATCAAAATAGTATCATGATAAATGATATAACAATACAAATACTTACTTTGTTGAACAAATGTAAACAAATCGAAACTTGCCACGACTATTTCGCTACAATTTTTACAAGTAACTTTTATAGCCTTCATATTTTTTTTTATTTTAAATTATTCATATATTCATTAAATTTCCCGACGAGGGAAATTTAATGAATGTTTAAAAGACGTTTAAAAGACGTTTAAAAAACATTTAGAACGCAACTTTTAAAAACAAATGCCCGTCAGGTTAATAGTTATCACTTAAGCATTATTTTTCAGCGTTTGGAACAAGAAGGAACTAAGAGCAAAAAAATATAACGCATAATATAACGGATAAATATAACGGATGAATTTAACGAATGAATATAACGAATAGACTTCACCATTTGTAAGAAATTGATCAAGCATACACAAATTATTACGCACACAAAAAAATATAACGCTAATGTAACGCCAATATAACGGATAGTGTTCACTTTTCTCAAATTCATCCGTTATATTGGCGTTGTTTTTTTACAGTGTACACTTTTGCAGATAAAACATCTAATTTATATAACTTATCCAAGGCCGGCGCGGCAATCTTTTTTTTCGTAAACGGTGGCTCCCGATTCAAACGGTGGCTCCCATTTTCGGTAAAAGTAAATTTTGAAGCTTCTAAACAATTTGAAAAATTATATACAACCGCTATATCGGTTAAACATGCACGTGCGTTTTGCCAATTCTTTTTTATTCTGAAAATATGAGCTTTTTTAATTCGATTATTTAAGGGGGAAAACCTCTCAGAAAAATTTTTTTTTTTCAATTTTTTTTTTCCAGATATTTTAAAAGTATATTTATTAAGAAATCAAATGGTAAAAACCTTATTCGAAAATCGCTATTTTTTATATCAATAAATGACACTTTTGTACAACCACCTGAGTTCAAAATTACCTAGCAACGCCCCTAGTTACAGAAAAACTGTGAATAAAACACATCTAGTATAGCTTTTTATCCGGTTTTTTTTTGCAGTTTAGTTTGAAATGCTTCCCATTATCTCTAAAGCCATACTTTAAAACCCCATATTTGACTGATAGTGCTAAAATTATTCATCTTTTCAAGCTTCTACACAATCAACTCAAGCTTTCTATATAATTAAAAAAAATGGACAAGTCTAAAACTGAATATAAAAGTGATAGAGTAAAATTTTCTACAAAACGTCTTCGAAAACGTAAATGTACATTTTCTGGTTTAAGAAAGCAAGAAAAATGTGTAAATATTGGTGTAAATAATGTAAATAGTAATAATGAAAATATGGTAGACTCTGTAAATATTGAAAGTGAAAGTGTATTTAAAGTGCATCAAAAAAAAAAGTAAAGCAACTAATGGTTCCAAGTGGAAACTCAAAATGTGTCAGTGGCTACAGGTTTATTGATTTAGAAATTCTTGCTTCCATTTTTTATAAACTTGGGTGTCCAGAATGTTTGCGACCATCACAGTTGTCGTTAAGCGAAAATAAAAAGTCTTGCAAAGGATATGCATCAAATTTATCATTAAATTGTATTTGTGGTTTCAAGTTAGACTTTGACACATCAAAAAATGTAGCAGGGTTTGATATTTACAAAAGATTAGTGTATGCCATGAGGACACTTGGTCAAGGCCAAGCTGGTCTACATCGGTTTGCCACTCTTATGAATATCCTAAAAGGATTATGCAATGAAAGCTATAATGTTATTGTTCAAAAATTGGCAACTGCAGCACAAACTGTTGCTGTTGAAACTATGAATGAAGCTGTACAAGAACTCAGAGAAGGCAAATCTCTTAATGAGATCTTAGATATTGGAGTTTCTGTTGATGGAACATGGCAAAAAAGAGGATTTAATTGATAATGATGCCGTCACACAATGGGGTGACGGCATCATTATCAATTAAAAATGGGAAGGTTTTAGATGTCGAAGCATTATCTAGAAAGTGTAAAATATGTGACAAAAATCAATATGTTGGTAATTCAAAGCAGCAGTTAACAGGAAAAAAATCACATATTTGCAATAAAAACTATGAAGGATCAGCCGGTGGAATGGAAACAGTTGGGGCAATAAAGATATTTAATCGCTCTTTGCAAAAATTTATTTTACGATACACAGAATACTTGGGTGATGGTGATAGCAAAAGCTACACTTCTGTCAAAACACACATACAAGGGTATTGAAGTAATTAAACTAGATTGTATTGGACATTTTCAAAAGCGCATTGGATCTCGTTGTAAACAATTAAAAAAGCAAGTCAAGGGTTTAAATGGTAAAGGCGGTTTAACAAACGCTACAATTGATCGGTTGCAAAATTATTTTGGTATTTGCATTAGGCAAAATTGTGGCAACCTTGAAGGTATGAGATCTTCAGCCTTGGCTAGCTTATTTCATGTAGCATCTTCAAGCAAAAATAATTGGCATTACCCGCATTGTCCCACAGGAACAGATAGTTGGTGTAAATACAATCAAGATAAAGCTAATGGAACCAAAGAGTATAAACCCGGACCAGGTCTTCCTATTGAAATAGTACACAAGTTAAAGCCCATTTATGTAGAACTAACATCAGATGCTTATTTAAATCGTTTGCTTCATGGAAGAACACAGAATCAAAATGAAAGTTTTAATGCAATGATATGGTCTAGAATACCTAAGTCAAAGTATGTTTCGCTTACGCAATTGAAATTTGGACTCTATGATGCTATTGGTGCCTTTTAATATAGGATTAAAGTCTAGTATACTTATATTTGAAAGACTTAATATGATACCAGGGCAACATACCATTTCTGGATGCAATTACCTGAACCAGAAAAGAGTTGTGATGTCAGAGTATAAAAATTGAGACACCATCAAAAAAAAAAGGAAGATTTTAAGAAGCCGCAAGCTTAAAAAATTTGACAAAGTTGAACAGAAAGAAGGGAAATTGTATGGGGCTGGTGTTCATGATTAAAAAATACAATCAGTATGCTCTTTTTATATTATATTTTTTGTATCTTTGTTATTATATAATATTTTTCATCACAATTTCAACTTATTTGGCATTTTTCTCAGAACGCGTGTTTTTAATCTCCCGGCAGAAGTATCTTGAGAACCGCTTGACCGATTTTAATGAAATTTTCAGGGAGTATTCCTCTCATAAAGATGTATGCAATGAGCAAACAACTTTTAAAAAATGTTTTTTAAACTAAAGAAATTAAAAAAAACATCTATCATTTTTGTGCTTGAAATTTTTGCCAAAATTAAACAGGCCTACTACCTGACAGAAAAGTTATTTTCAAAAACTGTCTGCTTATTGCATAGATCTATCTTTTAACTATAAGTTAGAAAAAAATCAGCTCAAAGTATCATTCTAATTGACTGCAATCTTTGCCAGGGTGAAGAGACTAATTTGACATTTTCCCTTAGTAACCGCGTTGCCATGGCAACAGAGTGCCATTTTTTATGATAGATCTTCTTAACATTTAGTATACTTTTATTTGGAACATGTAATCCGCCTATAATGAATAGCCTATGAATATTATTAGTGCGCATAGTTAAGCATTGTTACGCCTTTTGGGCATTATTGCGCTTTTGGGTTATAACTGTTAGAAGTGTACCTAAACGTCCGTACTACCTTTGTAAACATAAACAAAGAGAAAAAAACGTTTAGATAACAAGAATTTTAGAAATGATTAAATATCTTTTGGATGATCCAAAAGTAGGTTTGCGATTTTGAAGAAAACACAGACCTAGAATGTTTTTGCTTCACGCTATTGCGCTATTGTGCATGCGAAATTTTTATATACCTACTTTTGGATCATCCAAACTAACAGTTGATAAACGCGTTGATAGTGCTCGTCACTGCTTGATTCGCTTATTTAATTTTTACATATTTTTGAACTATTTGAATACATTCATAAACTGATAATAAAATGAATGAAGATAGTTCTTCCATCGATTTTGAACATGTGTTGAGTAAGATTTATATATACTCCTTACATTTACTATTTAATTATATAGTATATAATATATTAATATAAAATATTGTATATAATATACTACTATACAATTAAAAATACTTTAACTCTCCTTTAACTCTTTAATTAAGTAACTTAATCTTTATTTTTGAAGTTTTTAAATTTTGTGTCTAAGAACAAGTTTAATGATAATCAGCTTGTTAATTATCATTAAATATCATTAAACTCGTTCTTAGACAAAAAATTTACCCAACGACCATGTCCAACAACAATGTTGTTGGGCATAAAAGTGTAAAATGTTGCAATATCTATTTGTAGCTTTTATGGTTATTTGTGATTTTTTTTTTTATGTGCCATACTAATAGATCAAGACCCAAACATGTTGGTCAAAGTGTCAAGTCCTACTGCAGGGAGTGAAGTGCAGCAAATTTTTTCAACATTAACAGATGTTTAGGCCAAAATTAAAGAAGATGAAATGTTACATACTGTGCATTATGTTGTAGCATTTAAACGAACTATGGAACATAATATTGATGGTTTGCATCACTTATATACATATTTCTTATATATATATATATATATATATATATATATATATATATATATATATATATATATATATATATATATATATATATATATATATATATATATATATATATATATATATATATATATATATATATGTATGTATGTGTGTATGTATGTATATGTGTATGTATTAAAACATTTTTTAACATTTTTAAATATCTTATTTTTAATGTTGAAAAAATTAAATAAATCACCAAAATTTTAAACAGAAAAGTATTTAATTTTTATTTATCTTTAGATATAATGAAGAAAAACCACAAGATCTATTTTGAGAGTAAAGATCTTCCATTTACTGGAGTCCCATTCATTTTTTCATCATGTAGTACTCTTGATTGTCAACAAGGAAAAGACAAAGGTCTGACAACAAAAGCACAGTATTTAAAAAAGAAAAATGAGAATGCAGTAAGTCACACAATGATGCACAATGTTTTAGATGTTGTTGTTTTTTTTTTGGAAAAAAAACTCAGGGGTCTGGTTTGTTGTTTTATTGGGAAATTCATTATTTAAGCTACTTAATTTAACTTTAATGGTAATATCTTATTCTATATTGTATATTTAATTATATATTCGTACTGCAATTCAATTATATATTCATATTTTAATATCAGATTTAAATCTTAATATCAATTAATACTGAAATTTACTGAATTTTTATATATTTTAGTATGCTTAAAGGTTAACACAGTTGGAGCAGTCCTGTATAATAATTTCTTAAATAATTTTATCTTACTCAATTTTATCTTAGTTTTAGTAGTATATATTGACACAATAAACATTGTTTATTTGCATTTAATAGATTTAATTACATTTAATATTTGATATATATTTTATACTTATTGTTGTTGTTCTTGTCTTGTTTAAGATAGCAATTTCATGCTAATTTCTTCTTATCATTATTTGAAAATTACACCTGTTTATTCACTAATCATGACACTATATCCTTGATAAGTCTACCCTTAATCTGTTCATTTATTTTTGACAAATTTTATCTCACTTGATTTGAAACTTTTATTTCTTATATTTTTTGTTTCTTCAGGTATTTAATTATATAGCTTGAGTTCATTACAGAAAATTAGTTTCTGCCCACTTATATTGTTTTTCACTTCCATATGAAAATTATTTGCATTCCTGGTATTGTATTTATGTAAGTCACTGTTCTTTCTGATCATATTCACATATATTTTATTATTTGGATTAGTTACTACCTCATGAACAAAATTCAAGACTTTAAATATGATTTTCTGCTTGACTGATAAACATCCAATTTTCTCCAACATTTCTTTACTATGTGAATACCAATCACATTTTAAAATAAGTCTCATAGCTTTGTTCAGCAACTTTTAAAGTATTTTAATATCACCTTCATTTGCACTTAAAAAGTTTGCCTAGAAGAGAAAGTTCAATAGTAAATGATAGGACTTAGTGATAGATTAGCTGATTATTAACATAGGAATTTTGATAAGAATTGCAATAATTGTTTGCTGTAAATAATTGAGTTTCGTTGGAGTTAAAGTTTAAAAGCAACTATGAGCCTCAATCTGTTATAGAAACGAAATCAGATTTAAGATTGGCTTCCTGTTCTATGCAATCAAAAAGAAAAGACTTTTTGCCAAGATAAGAATATAAAATGAGTTATCAGCAAAAAGAGCTATTTTAGACATGAAATTGTCTGCAAGATCATTAATGTAAATACAAAACAAAACAGGACCAAGGATAGAACCTTAATGTGTCCCATAAGTTACTAGAAATGAAAAATAGTGCTGTTCATTAAGGACAACTTTTATACTATGGTTGATAAGGAAGAATGCAATAATCTTAAAGATGTTACTTGATACACCGTAAGAAGAAAGGTTAAGAAAAAGACCAGCATGCCAAACTTTATCAAAAGCTTTAAAATGTCAAGAGCCTTAGCCTCTCCACATCTATCTAACCCACAATAAAACTAATCAGTAATTACCGTTAACAAATCAGCAATAGAACGAGAAGATGGAAATCCATATTTATGATCAGAAAGAAAGTTATTAGATTCAAGATAAGAAATGAAATGTTTGTTAGTTAAACGCTCAAAAACTTTGCTTAGGATAGATAGAACTAAAAGACGGTAGTTAGACGAGTCAGATCGCTCTCCAGAATTTTAAAAAATAAGGATAGCAGATGCTTATATTATATACATGCACCGAATTTGGCGGTGCCCAAATTGGAGCATGTATATAATATACAGGGGCTTATCTTGACCCACTGGTCAAGATTAGCCCCTGTATATTATATACAACCTTCTGAATTAGAAAAAATGAGGTCATAAATTATTGAAAAACATAGAAACATGGTCAGCAATTTTTTGCTTACCTCAAACACTTTCAGGTTGACATTGCCAAATGTTGACCTTAATTTTGAGGGTTGTATATATATATATATATATATATATATATATATATATATATATATATATATATATATATATATAAATATATATATATACACACACACACACACAAACACACACACATATAAATATATATATATATATATATATATATATATATATATATATATATATATATATATATATATATATATATATATATATATATATATATATATATGTATATATATATATATATATATATATATATATATATATATATATATATATATATATATATATATATATATATATATATATATATATATATATAAACATATAAACATATTATCAGATATATTCTGGTAATGTACTGTATTAAATATTTTTTCCAATTCATAATAAAAATCATTCTGTTAAAAGTTTGTCATATAATTTGATATATTTCATATGAGATTTTTTTTGTATATAATTGTTATATAACTATTACTTATTTTTAATGATTAGGGTACAGATCATTCTTCAAAAAAAAGAAAGTTATTTTGCAAAATACAAAGAAGTTTGATTGCCCTGCAAAAGTATTTATAAAAGAAGTAGTAGAGTTTCCTGAGTTTAAGGTATTCTATAAAATATGCATCGGGACATAAAAAAATTATTAGTTTTAAAAGAGTTTCATTTTGTTTCTGCTACTTGGTGCTTTTTTTTTTTTTTTGACAATTTGGTTTTTTTAAACAAATATAAACTAAAAATTAAAATTAAAATACTATAAACTGGAAAGAAAAATAAAAAAAACTAAAGGAGAAAATTGCAAAACTAACTAAAAATAAATAAAATGCCTTAATGAGTTTTAAAATGAATACAAAAAAAACAAAAAAAATTAATAAGTTTTTTTGTTTTAATTTAAAAGTGTTACACTACAAAGAATTAAAAAAAAAATTGATGTTTCAAAGTTATTTGATCCTAGCTTAATTAATATAAACTTAGTTATTTAAAAATCGAAAATTTTGAGATTATTTAATGACCTACAAACAAATAATTTTTTTATGTTTTATTTGCTTTATAAGCAAATAAAACATAAAAAAAATATTTGTTTGTAGGTTTGTAACCAATGCCAATATAACATTATATATATATATATATATATATATATATATATATATATATATATATATATATATATATATATATATATATATATATATATATATATATATATATATATATATATATATATATATATATATATATATATATAATATTTTAATAGTCAGTGTGAAAAAGCGTGGCCAAGTTGTCAAAAAAAATTGTATGTTTGGTCAAATAAGGTGTATGATGGGATGCGTCTCATGAGAAGTCTTGATATATATATATATATATATATATATATATATATATATATATATATATATATATATATATATATATATATATATATATATATATATTACTTATAGTTTAAGCAGTTTTTAAATTACTTGGTTCTCTTTGTTTTAGCTGGACAAGGATTCAATATGGTTAAGAAAAGAAATGTCAAAAAAACTTCGCTCAGCTTTGGCTACCAACCGAAACATTTCAATGTGTAGAAAATATATTTTATTATTACCTGACATTTCTTCTCATAAAGACCATGCAATTGGAGATGTAAGTATTACCATTACATTAATGTTAAATTGTCTATGGTTTTTATTTATCAAAATATTTGTTTTTAGGAAGCAGGTCTTAATCAACCTTTATCTAAGGATATTATCAAAAAAATTGATGAGCTAGTCAGAAAGGGTGTTAATTCTGTTCCAGAAATGAGATGTCTTCTGGATGCTATTGTGCATATGGAATTTAATTCACTTAACTTACCACAGAAAGCAAATAAACGTTTTTTCCCACGAAATGAGACTATTGCAAACCATATGCAGAAAGCTAGAAATAATCTTCGCAGATCCATGATAGATCAAGAATGTCTGCGTGATAAGATTAATGAATGGAAAATATATTGTCCAGATGCAAAAATACATTTTAGACCAAAAGGAAAAATCTATTCAGACAATGATTTAAATCTTGAAAATTCATTACTGTTTGTTTATCAAGATGTATGGCAACAAAAATTGCTCTATAGATATGGAAATGAACTGGCTTTTTTAGACGCAACATATCGCACAACTAGATATGCCCTTCCGCTATTTTTTTTTAGTTGTCAAAACAAACATTGATTACCAAGTTGTTGCAATTTTTGTTTGTGAAAATGAAACCACAGAAGTTATAACAAAAGCACTAATGTGCATTAAAGAATGGAATCCATTATTTCAACCGAGGTTTTTTTTGACAGATTATTCAAACGAGGAAATAAATGCACTCGAATATGTGTTTCCAGGTAAGAATTTCTGTAGTTATGAATTTTTTCTGTTCATAATTATAAGGAAAGTATCTTTAAATAATGAAAAAATCACAATATTAATAAAAAAAAAAAATTTATTTCAAATATAGCACATTTAATCTAATTGCTTTAAAACTTGCTGGTTCTTTTTCATCTTCTTTTGTACTTTTATGACATTTGTTACATTTTTTTAAATTGTTTTATTGTTCATTTATAGGCTCTCTACTTTTTTTATATTTTTTTTATAATATATTCATTTTAATATATTTTAACTGAGAATTTTTATAAATAAAAACGATTAAAAAAATAGTTTTTTGTTGTAAAATGTTTGCTTTAGAGCGAGAAGTTTTAAATTTGATCCCCACCATGTATTTGTTTGTAACTTCATGTAGATCTGTTAAAACCACAAAAGTGTGGGCGTTAAACCTAAATTGTAAATAATTATATCATTAATTAATAATTTTCTCTATGTTGTATTTTTTACATAAACAAAAAGTCTCTAGGACTTAATTATATACAAAAATAGCATTTGACTAACAAATTACACTAAATAACGTAACTAACAAAAGTGTAATACGCTTAATTATAAACTGTTATAACAATTCATAATTAAAATTCTTTTACTTAGGTTGTAAAGTATTTATCTGTGATTTTCACAGAGAACAAGCTTGGGAAAGATGGCTGTCAAAAACCATAAATGGATGCTGCCTTGTGAAAAATCAAGTTAAAAAAATGCTTCGTGATATTGCACATGCAAAAACAGAAGATATTTGTCAAAAGGCAGTTCAAGGGCTTTAGGAATCAAATCACAAGTATCAATCACAAGTATGGAAAATACACCAAAAACTCGCTGAGTATTTAACAAACACTTGGTTACCTATCCAAAAGGTAAGTGAAGTTGTATATAGAATAAGTTGTATATATCATTATCGCAACAATCTAGATCTGTTCATATGTTTATGAACAGTAATGTACTCATTGAGTCATCATTCCTTTGTTTTATTTTAACTCTTAGATTAACTCATAGTTCTGATCTTGTTTGCATGTTTGTTTAAAAAAAAAAGATGTGATTAAATTTGATTTTTTAATACACTTTTTTATAAACTAATTTTTTAACTAAAAATGGAAAAGTATAAATTTTTATCCCAAAATTCCAAAATTAGCCTATTAATACCTTCTCTGATTATATTGAAATTTGGTCCATGGAGTTCTCTTATGCTCCTACTTAATGTTATAAGATTTAATGTTATAAGTCGCAAAGTTAAAGCTTTTTGTACTATTTATGTTATTTATTTATACGAAATTTTTGATGATTATGTGATTTATACCAACTGGCCAAAAAAGACATTTATACCACCTGACAAATATATATTAAAAATTTTATCACAATGTTTCATACTAACTGACCAACAGTTTACTTTTTTATTTTATGTTTTAGAGATGGGTGTTTGCTTACAGACAGGATCGTCTCCTGCTGAATGTTAACACTAACAATGGAACTGAGAGGCAGCATCAATCTTTTAAATATAGTTTTTTAGAAAAACGAAAGAATTCTTCGCTAACAGCTATGCTAAGTATTTGTATTGAAGAATTTCTTCCTCACAAATTTGACAAGTTAGTTGAGTTATTATTTAAGATATAAAAGTGTATGGAATAGTATATTAAATATATTAAAGTATTTTTATAAAAAGATAACAATGATGAATGTAACGAGTCACAGCATTACAATTAATAATAAATTGTTAACTTGTCTTTGTTATATCAACATAATAATTGTGATAATTTATTTAGCTATTGTGATAAAAATAAAAAGGCACATTCATCATATAGAAAATACAATGCAAAAATTCCGCCATATTTGATTGATCGTCCACGACCTTTGGTAAAACATTGCATGCATTTAGTTGATACATTAAAAGGCCTTGACTTACAAAGCATTAATGCTGTAACTGACAAGATATACAACGTTGCTTCATTTGATTCAAATAGTCGAGAAATCTATAAATGCTATCTTGGTGATGATAAACATTTGCCTAGTTGTTCTTGCCCTGCCTGGTTTAGTAGTCCATACCCATGCAAGCATTTTTTTGCTATTTATATAAAAGAAAATCTCTCCTGGTCTGCATTTGGTAGCTTATACAGAAATTCACCATATTTTAGCCTAGATTTATTGACAGATGAAAATAGCCAAGCAACCTCTGTAGTATGTCAAGATTTTTTTTCATCCAACAATGTTGGTATTCAAAATAATGCTGTCGGACATGAAACACAATTGTCTATACCTCTTGAACCTCAACCGTTTCCAAATGTACAAGGAATGAATTTTAAAAGTACGATTGCACCAAATAAAATTTAAAGTAGTCACTCTATAATAACATGTCGTGAGCTATTAAGCGAAATCACTCATATGTCTTATCTATGCAACTCTCAAAAAAATGTGGATCTGTTGTTTGAAGGGCTTTATAAATTGAAAACTGACTTAGTTAAAAGCATTACAAGTGAAAATGGAATTCTTTTGCGTCCAGATAATAAACCAGATACTTGGAGCAAGACTGAAATTAATTCAACTAGACTTTGTCATCTCCCAATTAGACGAAAAAGGAAGATGACTAAACGAGTTGGTGTCAAGTATGATGTTTACAAAGCAGCCTCAGATATAAGTGTAGTAACAAAAAAAGTTTCTTTACTTTCTGAGATAATCACAAATCACTCCATAAACGAAAGTTGTGATATTTTTACAGTTCCAATTGATTCAATAAAGACTGATAAAAAATTATCTGATGATAGCAATGAGTTGCTTGAAGGCAACATAAAAGATGATGGTAACCATATTCAAAGGACTGTTCAGAGTGTGCAATATCTGAAATCTTCTTTGATTGGAAATTTAGAAATGAATGTAATAGAAAATGGTGAAATGCTTAATGATAAAGTTATTCATTATTGTCAACAAGTCATGTCTATGCAATTGGATATTGGTGTTGGTCTGCAGGATCCTATTAAAGGTCAAGTCCTAGCTTTTAACATCCATCCGAACACCCCATTTGTCCAAGTTCTTCATGATGGAAATCTCCACTGGATTTGTGTGACCACATATGGTTGTGCTGCAGGAGAAATATATATTTTTGATAGTCTTTTTCATGGTGCAGTTAGTTTTGACACAAAAAGGCAAATATGCTCTATTTTACAATGTGATAAAAAATATCTTATGATTAAAGTATTGCCTATTCAACAACAAACTAATGGTGTTGATTGTGGACTGTATGCTATTGCTTGGGCTAGACAAATTCTTGAAGTGAAGGGAATACCTTCCACTTCTCTAATGTTTGAAGAAAGTGAAATGAGAAAGCATCTCCTTATGTGTATACTAAAGAACCGGTTAGATGTCTTCCCTACCACAATCAATCCAGCTATGTTTAAAAAATGTGCAGCAAAGGACTTTCGTATACGCTTGCATTGTTCTTGTCGCATGTTTTGGACCCATAAAGATGAGAACATTTTTAGCAGGTGGCATAAAATTTGTCATTTATAAAGTCATAATTCAATTTTTCTAAATAATGCTAAAATATTTTATTCTTATCATGTTTTGTAGGCAAATGGCTCAATGCGTTACTTGCAAAGAATGGTTTCATCGGCAATGTGAAAGAATTCCACAGAGTGCTTATGAACAAGAAGATGAGCTCTGGTATTGTCAGCATTGCAACAGTATAGCAGATATTAATACTACAAATGAAGTATAATATCTGAAACTGTCATGACATTCTTAACAAAGAAATAATAAAAATTAGGTTTATTCCTTACTTAATATATGACCTTGTTATACTAACCATCAGGTATTGATTTTTAATAATTATTATTAATAAATCTTATTTAGATTTAGGTATAGATTTTTATTTATTTATGATAATAACTTTATCTTATTTAATTTAATAAATCTGTCTTTGCTAGCATATTGATAATCATTTTTTAAACCAATGAAATAAATAAGAACATGCTATCATACTGTCATACACACATACTTACTCACAACGCTTGAGTTAATAACTCATTATTTAATGTTTATGCAAAATTATCTTGCATGTTTATGCAAAATTATGGGCATAGAAGTTTATACCAATCTGATATTAGCATATATTTTTACAATTGGCATTTTTATTTAATGCCATTTTTATTTAGTATGAACACCCTAATTGTGTTGTTTATGTCATTTATTTGAAATGAGATTTTTTATTTTGACATAAACTGCTTATACCTTTTTAATATTGGCATACCAAGATTTATTGCCTTTTGTGGTTTAAGCCTTTAGGGTTAACACACACACACACACACACACACACACACACACACACACACACACACACACACACACACACACCATAGTGTTATTATTCTTAATTAGATTTTTTTTTTAGGGCGGTGAGTGGAACTTGGCTACCTTCTCGTGGTGCTCACTGTTAGAAATGAGTACAAGAGATAAAAATTAACATTTGATTTTTATCTCTTGAATCATACACAAAATGCCAAGTCGAGAAAACAATAGTCGATTATAGTCAGTCTGGTTCTACCGATTTATTGACTTTTTTTTATTTACATAGTTTGGTTTAACAAAGTCATTTTAATGTTTTTATGAATTTTGAAGAAATATATGCAAGCAAGAAATTTGGAACTTTATGTTTTAGTATTTTATTGCTCATTAAAGTCTCACGTGAGAGCGAAAAACTGGAAAGTATTAACAAGTATTGTAACATTTCTGGTTTAGTTGCAAGCATTGCAACTAAACCAGAAATGTTGCAATGTTTGCTGAGTGTTCTCTTAAAATGTTCTTTTAAAACTGTTTTATGAAATTAATATATATGAGTATTCATAAACACGTTGATGAGAATGAAAAAGATGTTTGTAAATAAACAGGCGGATTAGAATTTTTATCAGTGAGTTAAAGCGTAGGTCGTTCGAAAATTGCGAAAGGTCGTTCGAAAATATATAGCCGGGTACCCGTTCAACGAACAAGCGGGTGCCTGTGTACCCACTCGTTCGTTGAAAGGTTCATTAAAAAAAACAATAGTTTTTATAAAAGTTGTACGTTTAAACAGTCAATTATATCATATTCAAGTAAATGATATCATATCTGTTGTTATTGCTTTCTAAATTTTATTTTGCTTCAAGTGTCCGGTTACACAAACCCCAATTACGGTTTCAAAATACTTGCGTATCCACTGTTTTGTGAGATGTCATGTAACTATCGTTTTGTAAATGACGCGCGGCGTCTTTTACAAAACATTTACATGCTACAAGTTGATGTACTCTATCTTCATATAACATTTTGTATATCAACTTTTTGCAGAAATTAACAAAAAAATCTTATCAACTTTTTCCGTTACCGAAATTTCATACCTTTTTAAAAGATTTTAAATATAATTTGCTTAATTAACTTGAATTTCTTTGTAAGAGCTTAAAATGATTATATTTTAAGTATCTGATTTACGTAAAGGAAATCATTGTACATACATAGCTACATAAGCAGTAATCAACGGGCGATTACCCGTCGACAGGTGTATTCATACGCTTTAATTTAATAAAGGAGGGTTATCTATTACACTGAAAGATGATTATTTTATTTGAGATTTTAATTCTAGAATTTAAAAACCATTTTAAATTCCTAATGTAAGTAGACATAAATATGTTACACATGAAACTTTTTAAATTTGTTTCTTTCCAAATTAAAATTATAAGTATCATACAAAAAAAACTCTATACCCTTGAGCATCAATATCAAGATGTGAACAAGTGAACGGTAGCAACAGTTAAAACATTTTAGCAAGTATAGATAACAGTTGACGTTAGCTAAGCTTCACTTAAGTATAGCTTGGCATATTAAAAATTTTTATTTAAACATAAATTTCATAATAAATTACCTATGCATTAACGACTAAGGTTAAATAAGAAATGTTGTTCTTTTTTACTTCAAATAAAAAATACATATATAAAATTATAAAGCAACAACATCAACATAAATAAGTATAAAACTACACATAAAATAAAAACTAGAGCTGAAAATACAAACGCCCTAGTACAAAAGACCATTTACCGTCACCTCCTCGGCCACCTTGTCCGCGACCCTTGCGGCTCCCAGTTCTACCTCCCCATCGAAAGTTGGGGAGGTCTTTGCCACCTTGTCGGGCCCAAACATTAAATGCTTTGCGCGTCTTCGGACCAGGATGCGTAGTAAGCCAAAGCAAGAACTGGTTAAATGAAAATCCTAAAAAATTAATACAAAACACTTTAAGTTTTTAAGCATATAAGTTTTTTTAAAACAAAATTTTAAATCAAATTTACCATTTGAATCCTTGATGCCATCATTGGGAGTACCTTAATCAAAGTAAACATTTCATACTAAACTAAGAATAACAACTACTAATATTTATTTAACAAAAATATCATTTTATAATTTAATTTATTTATAATTTCAGTCAATATTGTTAGGGAAGTGAAGTTCTTACAAAAGGCTCTGGCTTCAAACCACTAGTTATTACTGGTATTTGATGTCAGAAACTCCAAAAATGTTGAGAGATTTTATGGACTACATTTACAAAATAATGAGACTCGAAAGTCTTCAAACTTATTACTGAGAACATTTGTAACCGAAAAAAGTATAGCCTGTCATGATTGAAAAAAAATTAAGTTTATCTGTTAGTCAATATATATACTCTATGTTTGTACTAACATCAGATATTAATTTTTAAACCTCCCGGTTTAAAATCCTCCCGGTTCATAGTTTAAAGTTTCAGTATTCTATATGTAACATTTACGTCATTTACAAAACGTTTATATGCTACTAATTGATGTATTTATTTTCATATAAAATTTTAGTTGTTTATAATGAACTTTTTGAGCGCACCAAAATAAAAAAATTGAATTTCTTTAAAAGAAATTCCCTTACCCCAAAGAAATCCTAATTCAGATTTTTGACATCAATAACACAAAAAGCCAGAGTCCTTTCAGAAACTAAATATAGGTGATTAATACCATAACTTGATAAATGGATTTAATTTTTGTAACCATAGTAATTAATTTGTGTTTGAAATTATTAACAATTTGCTTACTTGTTGAACTAGAGAGGTTGTTGACTACTTCCTGAGCCGGAGGTGTTGATATGACTGAAGAACCCTGATCAGTTGGTAAGCTTGATGCATCTGTATATATATATATATATATATATATATATATATATATATATATATATATATATATATATATATATATATATATATATATATATATATATATATATATATATATATATATATATATACTCTTGCATGTCTCTTGCGTGGCATCAAAAAATGTTTCCCATAAACTGTAGTTTTAAAGAGCGCGTTAATAAACCAGACCAGAAAAAGTTTTGAAAATTAAATTTTTTTTTTTAATTGATAGACTGCCTGGCCAAACCAAACCCTCAGTCGATGTAGCAGCACTCTCTTGCGAGTCAGGCTATTTGTCAGTCGTTGTAGCAGCACTCCCTTGCGAGTCAGGCTATTTGTCAGTCGATGTAGCAGCATTCCCTTGCGAGTCAGGCTATTTGTCAGTCAATGTAGCAGCACTCCGTTGCGAGTCAGGCTATTTGTCAGTCGATGTAGCAGCACTCCGTTGTGAGTCAGGCTATTTGTCAGTCGATGTAGCAGCACTCCGTTGTGAGTCAGGCTATAAGATAGTCGATGTAGCAACATTTACGCATGTTTAAAAAATGTTTTTTATTAAATCAATAACAAAAACACCACTAATTAAAAAAAACTTTCTAGTCGTTGTAATTGCGGTTTTTTAAAAATTTTTTAAAAAACAATTAAATTTAATGTACTTTCGCATAAATTAATTGCTTTGACATTTTGATGACAATCAAAAACAGCTTAAGAGACGAGGTAATTAAAATTGTAGTCGTAAGAGACTTTTTTTACATTAAAATGCTCTTAAAGCTACACTATATGGGTATATATATATATATATATATATATATATATATATATATATATATATATATATATATATATATATATATATATATATATATATATATATATATATATATGTATTTATGTCAGGGTTAGCAAAAAAACCCAACCCAAAAAACCCCAAAAAAACCCACCTTAAAAAAACCCAATAAAACCCAAAAAACCCAAAATATATTTGGGTTTTTTTAAAAATGACCTATTTTACAACTGATAACTCTGATTTTAACACTTATAAATGCTTTATTATCAGCAAGTGCAACCTTTATACTGTAATTACTCTTGTAAACACTGTATTTATATACATAATGGTCTTTAGGATATACCCAAAATCGATCAATATGTTTTTGTAGCAAGTTGGTTATTTATTATTTTTTTAAAACATTTAGCAAGTTATTATAAATATTATTGAAATATGTATTAAAACATTAAATTAGTTAAATACTTATAAAGGAAATAAAAATCATTCTATTAACTAAATTTCAAGACATTACTAGTTATTTAGTATCTTTATTCTCCTCTCGAATGTCTGTATTCTTTTATATTGGTATTTGATTTTTTATTTTTTAAAGCTTATGTTGTAAACTGCAAAAAAAAAAAAAAAAAAAAAAAAATACAAAGCCACAAGCTAAATACTATATATAAAAATTAAACTTTATTTACAGTTTAGAGATGGAAAGTTGTCAGGCAAAAAAAATGCTACAGTTTACTAGATTTGTCCTTCAGTGC